TTTAAGAATCTGAGCTTTGTAATGAGAATACAGCCGGCCCGGACTCTTCAGGAATCTGAGCCATTTAATGGGGCAAGGTGGACAATATACAGCCAAGTAGTCTGGGGTGACTGGGAGGTAACAGAGGAGGATGGGGAAGGGCTGGGTGCCCCAAGTGAATGCTAGGGACTAGGGCCACATGGAAGGGATCTAGATGGAATTAAGGAGGGCAGTCTAGGGTGGGGCCAGGTACAAACAATGAGGGCTGGGTTGGGTTAGAGGCAAGGAGAACTGGAGATTGGGGCAGGGTCAAAGCCACAAAGCAAGAACGGTTGAAGGGATTACACTGAGATGAGTCTCAGGAGAATGTCAGGAACCTGGGCCTCATGGGAAAGTCCATCATTAGTGCCCCATCCCCACCATCTCCTTTTATAGAGGAGACCTTCCCAAAAGTCAAACGATTTACCCACGATTCAAAAGTAGCAAGTGGCAGAATCAGGATTTGAACTCAGGTCCTCTGAATACAAATCCAGTGTTATTTGCACTGTATACTAAAACCTCTCTGGATTTTTATGCAATTTTAGAGAAAAATAGTGGTTCCAAGGGAAGGGCTTTTTTTTTTTAAATTGTCATGTTGGGGCTAGCTCTTGGCTTAGAGGAAGGCTGGCAGATTTCAGTGCATCTCAATCTTGAAATCTAGGTGGATTAGCAAAGGGCTTTCTTCAAATCCCCCTTTCCAAGGGAATGCTGTTCCCAAGAATTAGGAATATACATTACCAAACCTTATTCCCAATTGCTGTCTGGTAGACATTGTGCTGTCTATCCTCAATGTCGTGTTATGAGGATCAAATGACAATATGTGTAAAGCATTTAACATAGTGCCCGGCACACAGTAAGCTTTTAATAAATGCTTCTTCCCTCCCTCCCTCCCTTTGATTCAATGCATGATGATCTGGACCCTAAACCCCAGCACAGACTCAAAGTACTATAGCTGTAAAAGGACCTTGGAGATCAACCACTCCCATCATTTCTTTAGAGGAAGAAACTGAGGCCAGAGAGGGGAGAGTGACTTGTTAATGGCAGAACTGAGACTACAAACTCAGGCTTTTCATAGGATCATAGGTGCATGGGAATGGCCTTCCAGAGTCATTAAATTCAATCTTCTCATTTTATAGGTGACAACCCTGGAGCCCAGATAAGTTAAATAACTTGCCTAGGGTCATACAGCTAGGAAGTGACTGAGGCAGGATTTGAATTTGGATCTTCCTGACTCTAAGGTCAACTCTGTCTACACACACTACTGCTTCAGATCCAGCACTTTGTGCTCAATACTACTCTTCAGTAGGATCCCACATAACACTTTTCAAGGCATTAGCAGGCTCTTCAGCCAATATTTATTCACATTATTTAATGCAGATGAACTGAATACACTTCTTGACTTAACCTGGGATCTTCTCAGCTCCTTTCTTCCTCAAGCCAACTACCTCATCTATTATAGAAGGCTTGGTGTGCCTTCTCTGGGCTGCCTCCCAATGGGGCAGTGGCAACCATACTGTTAGCTGGGGACTGTTGGCTTCAACCCAGCCCCAGCATGCTCTGCTCTTGTAAGGCTGGGGCTGCTGTTGCCAGCCAATCTGGGGAATGGGGGGTAATGGTCCCTGTTGGGTCACAGCTGTGACTCCAAATGGTTTTGAGACCATAGCCCAGCCGCTAGTACAGCAGGAGCTCACATCAAACAAAGGGACTCCACTGCATTAAGTCAGGAGCGTGTGTGGAGGAGAAAAGTGCCCCCTCCTCTCTCCTCTCTTAGTCTAGTAGAGTGCCTCTTGGGGTAGGCAGGGGGGCTTGATAAGAAGAAGATGGTAATGAATTCTAACACCCCTAGCCCTCTGGGGGCAGCTAAACAAGAGGGGCCAAAACCTTAGTTTGAAGAAAGATTGGAAGGTGGCTTGCCCCCTCCCACAGGGCCTGCTAATCCTGCACCATCCCAAAGTATTTGCATTTCTAATAGGTTGAAAGCCTTGCCTTTAGAATTCTGGGATGACAGATATTCTGAGGGAATCCCTGGGGCCCTAAAAGGAGCCAGCCCTCTGTCTGACCTCAATAGGATGGAGTTTAGCTTCATTCCATCTCTCTGTTCTTCTCCTTTTTCTAATCCATGTCCAGTCTCTTGCCAATTAGACACTCATGCAGAGGCTGGTTGCAAGAACTTGCATTTCCCTAACCTCTTTGTTACAAAGATCATCCCATGAAGTTGGAGCAAGGGTATTTGGGATGACTTTTCCCATAGTATTGCTGGGAAAGCTAGGGACCAGAGAGGTTAAGTGACCTTTCTCAGGTCTCACAGCAAGTCAAGTGAAATCATTGTTAGAAACAAGATCTCCAGACTGGGAGTCCATTGTCCTTTCTACAGGCATTAGCTCTCAAGGTTTTACTCTGTGCAAAGGACTTTTGGAGGGTGATTAAACCAGATGGTGGGAACAGATCACGTTTTTTTTTGTTTCTTTGTTTGTTTTTGGTGTGTGTGGGAAGTGTGCCTCACTAACAGGAATGTGCTGTTTTGTAATCTTAGTTGGTCCAGTATTTCCAATTACCCCCTAGTTAAATACAGATGTAGCCCCAGGCTCTTCCCAGAAACAGGGTAAATCTTTTTTTTTTCCTTCAAACCAGTGTACATCACTGGGGAAAAAGGGAAGAGTGTTCTAGAGAATATAATGTGGCTTTTCTCTCCTATCCAAGGATGTCAGGCCTGGAAAAGGACCTTAAAGATCATCCAATTAAGCAACGTTATTTTACACATGGGGAAACTTGGATAAAGTTTTTAATTAATGAATAAATGGCATGAATAAGTAAAATACAAAATAACTAATAAAATAAACAAATATAGGCATAGGAGGCATCTTTCTTGAACTTGAGGATGACCCAAAGTTAGGAGGGATGACTCATGCTTTAGGTGACAAAAATCAGGATCTGATAAGGTTCTGCTAAGTTAGAGCATTGGGCCAAATCCAGTAAGATGAAATTTAATGTAATAATTGTTATAATAATTCAATTTAATATAATTCCAACAATTTAATAAGACGTTTAATGTAAAGTCTTACACTTGGGTTCAAAAACTGATTTCACAACAGGAGATTGGGAAGGCATGGGTAGAAAGCATTTTATTTGAAAAAGATCTGGAGATTTTGGGTGGGTAGCAAACTCCGTATGAATCGAAGACAGTCAAGAAGTTTTAATATGGTTTTAGAGACTGAATTTTAAGGAGGGCACGCTGTTAAGGACTGGGGAGGCAAAAGTTGTGCCCTATTCTGCTCAGACTGAGTCTGGAATATTGCATTCAGTTCTGATTCCTACTTTTAAGGGAAGGCATTGGTTCAGAGGAGGATAACCAGGATTGAACCATATGCCATACGGCTGAAGGAACCAGGGGATGCTTTAACTCCTCCTTCTTCCACCTCCTAAACTGCAGGTTAATCTCTTTCCTTTTGTCCAAGACTAATAGTCTTTTTTGAGCTGGAAGGGATTTTAAAGATCAGCTGTTCCTCCTTTACTCCTTTGCAGATCATGACCAGAGGCCCAGAGAGAACTTCCCCAAGATCTCACAGCAGAGCTATGGGTCTCCTAATCCTAATACTGTGGTCTTTTCACATTTGCAGTATGAGAGATCCCTATTGCTATGTCTATATGACTTCCAGCACTGAGATTCCTGTCACAGAGGGGACTCAAACCATGACAAGTAATATATACTTGATCCAAAGAAATAGGCAGCAGTCTTAATGAAAGCCAGACAAGGGTCCTAAAACAAACAGGCTTACCTCTCCCTTGACTCTATCTCCCTTTTCTGATGTGATGGTAGAACTCTGTCTTGAGGAAGGGGACTCTTAGTGTGCCTCCTTGTGGTAGATGCTTGCCATCTCTGATCTAAGAATGATGAGGACAGGAAAAGGAGGAGGAAGGTTTGGGCCCAAACTGGTCCAGCTTACTGAGCTTGATCTGGTCCCCCTCCTTCCTGCCCCCCAGTGCTCACTTGAGTGGGTGTGTGGGGGTGCACATACATGCGCTCATATATATATATATATATATATATAGATAGATAGATAGATAGATAGATAGATAGATAGATATACAGGTGCATGGAATCATTTATTAACCATTATATATTAATTAATCATTAATTTCTTCTATTAACCATTTTAACCTTTGAAAACACATATATGCATATCAAATCATAGGTGTTGCTCATGCAAATGCAAGATGTGGCCTAATAGGAAAAAGGAGACACTGTGCTGGTCTCCTTGGATGGAGCTTTGTGTTCCAAGGTGTGGGTGAGGTATATAATGTTTTCTTTGGAGATAACAGGCTGATATGTAAAGATACTTTGTTTCTGAGGACTTCTGGTTAGTCTGACACTCCTCTTAGCTTACTACAATGGAAAGTACACTGAACTGAGCCTTCCCCCCCCCCCCCCAATCGGGTCTATCTCTCTTGACATTTACCAGCCAGATCTCACCGCTGATTGGTACAGAAGCTTTGACTGGCTCCATTTCTGACCTGGACCATTTGGATTCCCCTTACACACAGCCTGGTTCCCCACTCTGGCTCACCATATTGGTGCTAGGTTTAGTGCCCTACATCTGATTGGCTTTAAATATAAATACTGCAGCTCAGAACTCCCAAGATCACAGAATCCACCAGGCTCAGCCTCCCTGGTAGCAAGGAGCATAGGTGTGTACCACCATGCTTGGCCTCTGAATTAAAACTCAAGAAAACTTGATATCCTATCCTGGTTCTGCTCCTAACTTCCTTCATGGCCTTGGGCAAGACAGGTGACTTTTTTAGGACTCAGTTTCTTCATCTGTCAATTGAGTAGTTTGGACTCAGTCAATCTCTAAGATTCTGTCCAGCTTTGATATTTTATGATTAAAAAGCTACCTGATGTCTGGGGCAAAGGTGCCCCATTAATACCCTAACATCCCTTCGTTAGTCTGAAGGGGGGAAAAAGACAAACTCAATGTAGGGAGTTGGTTTTGAACAATTTTTATTATACGTTTAGTGTTCTCTATACAAAAAAAATCAGTCGGGTTTTTTTTTTACAGTGATTCCAAAAAAAATCTGAATAATTTGGCCTTTTCATTGCTCATGCAGTCAGTTTATAAGTCCATGAATTAAACGGTTCTCCATGGCCCAGAAATCTTCCCTGCTGTAGGTCACTTGTGACAGCCTCTGATACTCGTCTACTGCTGACAAAGTTGGTTAATGCAAAATAACTCAGAAAAAGAGGGGTGGGAAATGTGTATATGAAGGCGTTAAAATGAGGTCTGCCATGGAAAGTTAAATATTTAATGAATGAAAACAAGAGCAGACAGATGGGAGAGAGTGGGAGACTGAAGGAGAAAAATGGGGAAAACTTCTCCCCTAGCAAAGAACCAATGAGAATTTGCAGTGTAAAGGGGTGGGGAGAAAGAGAAGCCCAATAGGCTTCAATGGGGGATAGGGGAGAGAAGGACAAGGGAAAGGGGACACCATGGACAGAAAGAGTGAGCAGCGAGGGCTGCAGGGACCAGGGCAGACTATAGCACGCCCCGTGATAGGTGACTGGTCCTCCAAACAAGAGGAGCTCATGGAGAAGTTGGCAAAGAGCTGGGTAGCTGGGCAGAGGGACAACACTGACTGAGGACATCTCTTTCTGGGAGCAGAAAAAGACATAGGGACAGGTTCATCCACTTTTGTGTGTGTGTGTGTGTATTCATTTGTGAAAAGGGTTGATAGTACACAAAACTCTGAATTTCTTTTCCCAGATTTTTGTGTTTATTGCTTAACCGAAGTCTTTTTGCCTTGTGCTGACTGGCTGGAGTGGCCCAATGCAGAGCATCCCACTGCCCCTCAGCTCTCTGCTGGCACAAGCATAGATGACTGGAGGCCTATCCTTGGAGCATAATGTATAAGAAGGTTGGATACGTAACAGAACAAAAGATGCCATCCTGCTAGTGGGCACCCTAGACTGAACCCCATGGTGTGCCCTCTGCAGCTAAATGACCAGTTCATCTTTTTCTTTTTAAGTCAACTGACTTATTCATTCTCTTCTTTTGTCCTGGGAGGGTTCCCAGATGCAAGGTTGGGTTAGCCATGAGTCATGAGAAAATAAAATCAAATCCCTAGAACCAGAAGAATCCTATCTGCAATCCATCCTCAGGAGGGGCAAGTCCATTTAGGAGGGAAACATCTGGCCATCAGGGTCCAACTTGAATAAAGGGATTCTTCAAATCAGGTGAAACTGGCAACCTTCATCCATGTCCATCACTGATAGAATATCCACATAATACTGATGTGATGTAAGCAGGGCACAGGTCCTAGGGTATGGCTGGGGCACCTGGGACCTCTCTACTGCCTGAAGCTATCTCAGATAACACTGCTCTTAAACAAGAGAGGACACATTAGTCCTTGGGCCCTTCACCAAAGGGTTTATATGAGGGCCACTGTAGCATCTGGGTACAAATCGACCCTTCTGAATGCCTTGGTTTGAACAAGGTGAGGGTTGCCTCAGACAGCCTGGAGCTGAATTCTGTGCATCCCCTCTCCTGACATTTCAAGTTTTTGGAGTTATCCATCCCGCATGTCACATCTATATCCTGACCTGTAGAGTCTTGCCATGGTCCCTTGCTTCTCTCGAAGGCACGCTTCTCCTAAACTGGGCTATGTAGAAGGTAGGGCCTGTGTCTTATGCAAACTCTACCTCCTCCAGCACCTAGCAGAGTGCTCTGCACCCAGTATAGGTATTTAAAGAAGGTTCATGTTAGGGTCTAGTGTAAAAAAAGCTCTGGAATCGGAGTCAGAATAACAGGTCACTGAAATCCCGGATTAGACACAGTGAGAATTTAGGCAAGTCATTTCTCTGGGTCTCAGTCTGCTCATCTGTAAAATGAGGTCATCATATTAGATGATCTCCAAGCTCTCTTCTAAGTGCTAAATCTGATGAACTGACTTTAGTAGGTTTTCTATGTATTGGTGTTTTTTTTTTTTGGAAGAAAAGAGGTCATTGGAAGAAAAGAGACTTAATATTGCAGCAGTATTGCTAACATGTTGGCTGGGTCTGTGACCCAAGGGAAACCTGGATGCCATTTCAATATTCAGGTCCAGGACAAAGATGTACTCCTTGTCCCTCAAAAATCTTGGTATTGGCAAAGGATTCTGATCCACGAGAGATAATTCATACAATATGGATGGATCTACTCTCCTTGGGTCCTATGGTTCTTCAGGCCCCTACTCTCTCCATGTGGACTGTATAACAGATGCCCCTGGCAGCCAGAATATAAAGGGGTAACAGTTTCATCTCAACAGAATGAACAGAATGGGATGGCCAAAGGCCTGCAATGAGTTAAGCCTGGTTCTCCTTTCAGCTTGATCTCAATTAAAACACGAGATACAAGAAAGCAGATTCTTCTTTCTCTTCTCCCCCCTCACAATACTCTAGCCAAAAACCCACAAAGTTTTCCATGGTAAGGCTAAGAGACATAGAGAAGGAACAGATCAGTACCTCTTGCCACCGCCATATCCATGCATTACCTCTGAAATCTCTTGGGTTGAAGGAGGAGGCACAAGGAGCCGGGTCAGCTTAACCAAGGTGGCAAGGCATTTCCTCTAGGAAGGGAACCCGGGAATTCCCCTGCACCCACTCTTCTGGTCACCTTCACGCGTGTTTTAACAAGGAGCTCGGCTTGTCTTCTCTGGGCTGCTCCCTGGGGCTTGAAGCCAAAGAGCTATTAAGCTTTCACAAGATGGACTGTGGTCAACAATTCAATACCCACTTTGTTCAAAGACAGAGGAAGTCACAGTCCTTGTGGTCTAAAGGTGAGGATAAACAGCCTTCTGATGGGACAATTAGGGAGGGGAGGGAACAAGACATTCTGGGCAGCTGAATTTGGCTTTATTCCCCAACAGCAAGCCTGACGTTGATACTGCTTAAGCCCTGGCAAGATGACCAGCATTCCCACCCCCACCCCCCACCCCCAATCCCAGCCAGACTCGCTGGCTGAAGCACCTGGGCTTTTTTTTTGTTATGTTTTCTTTTCTTCTAAACTCCTGGCACCTGCTATAGTTATGTATTTTGGTGACTGCATGAGAGACCCAGCCCAGTAGTGAATGCTGGCCAATACTATTTGCCTGCTGACCTGAGGCTGATGCCAGCATGGGGTTGTACCTGACCTGGTGATCCCTGATGCTCTGCTTCCCCGAGGCAGCTGCCCACACTGCAGGTGACCTGCCCTGCCCCTGGTGAGCCCATGTGCTTAATGGATTTGATGGAGCACATGAAGCACGGGTCAGTCAGCTGGGTATGGAGAGAACACTTGCTTCCCCAGCAGCAGGCTGAATCCCCAACCTTGAACAGGTATCTCACAAATGATTTGGAGAGGGGCAGCACCTTTACTGCCTCCACAGTCAGGAAAATCAAGGTTGTCAGAACACCAGAACAAGGGACCAAAGAAGGCTTTGGTCTTTTGCTCCCTTAAGGTCCTTGCTGGAAAGGCTCATAAATAGTCTCATGGGGAATCTCTGGAGGAAGACATCCTTCCCTTTGGGGTCCCCCATGCCTCCAACAGAATGGCCTGTTGCCTCTATATAGGAGCAAAGGAGGTCCTGAACTTGCTCCCCCCTAGCCTTTTACCCGGCCCTGTTTCAACACTGGAGAGCATCTTCCTATGGAAATAGGCCTGGTGTTATACCAGTCCAGTCCATGGGGCATCTGATTGCTCTCAAGTTTGAATAATGCACCCAGCCTAGCTCTCCAGCATGTTTCCCTACCTGTCCTGTTGCACAGGACAGTTTAAGCTTCATCTGAATGATTTTCACATCACACAAAGTAGTTTTGCTGTTAATACCTTTGGGTCTCGGAGATGTGGCAAATGCCACTGAGAAACAACGGGTCTGGAGGGCTCAGCCTTGGCACCCCCAAGGCTCTTTTACCAACCAGTGGCTGGTTCAAGCTTTAGTATGGTACTTGATCCATGACAGGCGAAATAGCAACATCCTCTGGAGAGGTGCTACAGCTATGGAACACCCACCCTCTCTCGCACACAGGCCAGGTAACTTTGGTTTTTAAGAAATGCGCTCGCTTGGTGGGAACCAGGAAGGCAGCACCGTCCCCTTCACTGCTGGTGGGAAAATGATTCCTCTCACCACAGGTCCAGGCTTGGCGCTGAGTGGTCATTTCTTCTTCTGCTGTGAAGCACTGCATAGGTGGCCAGATTATCCATAAGTCTGATGCCTCAGGGGCACTGGGGCTTGCAGCGAGGGACTGGGAAACCCCAGAACTCCAAGGATAGCTGGGAGCTGGGTAAGGCATAGGGAGAACATTGCAATGAGAGGGATTCCTATCTGGGCAGAGGTGGTAGAGTGCTGTTAGTATTGTTACCTTAGGTTCTTCTGATATGTAAATACCCCAACAGAAGGGTAACACCAGTTTGGTCTGGGGTGTGTATGGGGGGGGGATAGACTTGTGGCTGAGGCCTTTCAGGAACCCACCAGTGACCACTGTTCACATGACATGTAAAGTATGAGTCTTGATACACTCCTGAATGGGGAGCGTGAAGATGATATCCAGTGCATTGGATAGCAAACGAGGGAGAGCCATCTCACACCTCTCAAACGGGCAACGCTTATGTAGGTTGTTCTGCCTGGGATAAGGTCTGGTCTCCTCCAGGGTTGCCATGCTGGACTCTTTCTCATCTACTACCAGGTCAGGGGTTGACTCGGACATCTTGGGTGTTGTTCTTCTCCTAACCCACTGTCAAATTTGGAGTTTTATGAGGGAGAGAGGAGGAAAGCCCAAATCCAGAAGCTGCTTTCTTTTGTTCCTTCTCTAGGCCCAAACACTTCTACCTTCATCAGGTACCCAGACTGGGTCGCGGGAGTCAAAGACCTTTTCATTCAAGCATCACTTTCTTGTCCCTACAGTCCAAATCCTCTTCATCAGGATAAAAATAACTCCATATATTTTGAGGAGGCCGGGGAGTCACATCCCCACATCGTAAATAAGGGAGTGGTAGCAAGATGTATGTGCAGCTCTCAGCATGAGCCAGAGAGAGGCTGTTTACCCTCCCTCTGTCAAAAAAAATACTGTTGTTTTGCAGAAAGAAGCCAGGCCCAGGTCAGTGTGGACAAAGGCCAAAGTCGAGGTGGCAAGGGGGCTGCGTGCACATGGCTGGAAAGGCATCCTTTGGAACTGAGGGGGCCCAGAAGTGTTTGAATACTAGAGATTCTCTGTCCTATTGCTGATTGATCCTTTTGCCAGTCTCTTGCTGCTCTCTGGGGAGGGGCTATCCCTCCATTCTCTTCCTGGGATTTATCTCCAAAAGAAAAACAAAAGTGGAAACCTTTTTTTTTGAAGAGAACAAAAGTGAAAAGGGGGGAGGTGCAGGTGTGTGAAGGGGAGAGGTACCATAACTTCTTAGAAGGAAACTAAAGGGTGAAATGTTGCCAAGTAACTTGTGTGAGTATTGGGGGCAAGGTGGAGGGGACAGGGATGGTCTGGTTCTGAAAGCTCACGGTGGGTATTTGACTGAGCCTCAGGAACCTGTTCCCTTCTGGCTCAGCTCAGGTCTGGTCTCCAGCTCTGCGATCACCCTGTTGGCACCCGGGGGGCAGGGGTGAGAGGGAGGGAAGGGAGAGGAAGGGGAGAGGCTTTGCTGTTGGCTGGGCTGTCACAGATACAAGTGGCTCAGCTGATCCCCTGACACTGGTGTCTCTGATTGCCCTCATCCCTTTGGGTGGTGGTGATTTAGTAGTCAGTCCGCAGTGGGTTTTTTCCTTCCCACCTCCCCTCCCCCCATTGACTACAGTGGCTGTGTCTGTATGGGCCAAGCTATGCCAGGGAGTAGATGGCATTGACAGGCGATGTGGCCTCTGAGCTTTCATTCCCTTCTGTCTCTTCCTTGTCCTTTTTGACTGTGTATTGGCCAATGAAAGATCCATCCTCATTAAACTGTCCTTCTCCCCCCTCGCCATAGTCCACCAGGCTGTCATCACTCTCCTGCTGCTTGATGGTGCCATCCAAGGATGTCTGGCTTCCTTGTAGGGGCTTGTTGTCCTCATCACTGGTAGGGGTGGGAGAGGGGCAGGCAGAGAGGAAAGGGAGCAGAGGAGACAGAGTGTTAGAGGTAGAGTCCAAGCTGAGAATTTCCCACAAGAGTCCATTGGCAAGCATTCATTAAGTGCTTACTATGTGCCAAACATGAGGAGATAGAAGGAAGAGCAAAACCAGTTCCTGCCCTCAAGGAGCTTACATTCCAATTAATTCGGGAGACAACATGCAAATAACTCAATACACACAAGGCAAATAAAGTTAGAGGACCTGCCTCCAGCTGAATGCTCACTCTGTGCTTGGGAGGGGTGGTGGCGCTTAGGGAGTAGATGTTAAGCAATCACAATGTGCGAACCCCGGCCACCCCTTTTCTGGAAAGAGGAAATATCATTTGTTCAGAAGGGGTAAGGCAAGAACTGCAGCAGGAAAGAATCCAGCTACAAAAAGAAGCAGGAGCCCAGGTCCTGAAAGAAACAAAATCTCCTTTACCTCTTCCCTTGGAACATTGCTATCTTTCCAGAGCTCGGTTAAGTGAATGAGAGACAGAGGTATCTGTAGCCAATGGAAAGCTAGCAGCCAACATGCCCCAGTTAGATGAGCCACCGTGAAACCATCAATATTAACCAAGTTTGCGAATATGAAAGATTTGGCAAAGCAAATTAGTGGGATATTAGGGAAACTGGCCTCCAGGGTCACATTTGAGTTTGGGAGGAGGGCAGAACTTCTTTCTCCATGAAATTGTTTCTGATCCATCCTTTCCCCACCTGACTATGACTTGCTCCCCTGTACCTCTCCTCCCTGAATGATATGCTGTTTAGAATTGGGTGGAGAATAGGGCATGTGGCTATTCTTGACCCCAATTCCACTCCCCTAAGCCAAAAGTAACACTGAAGCAGGGAGGTGATAGGTTAGGAGTGGGGAAGGGGCAAGGCAGAACAAGTCTTTCTCATGTCTTAGGTTCTTTAAAGAGGGGAAAGGGATTTAAGTCTGGAAGGAGCTGAACCCTGTCCTGCCAACACCCACTTACTGGAAAGGTACCAGATTGTGGCTGGCCCTGCAGCTACCTGTCTTTCTACCTTTCAAGAAATCTTCCTGTCCATGTGCTCAGTTATGTAGAGGAAATAGAGATCAGACAGAGAAGCAGAGAGAGGTGGCATTCCAACTCGCCCACAAAAGTGAGATCAAGGATGAATAGCTCTTTCCTCCCCATGGCCTTCCCTCGCCTTCCCCTGCTCCACTGAAGACTCAGCTTGGTTCTCGGGCACCGACTTTGTCTGGGTTTGCTCCAGAATGGCAGATGAGGTTAATGTATGCAATTAGTGGGGGCAGGGAGGTGTTCTGTCCCCAGCCGGGCCTCAGTTTCCTCATCTGTGAAATGAGACAGTAGGACTAGATGGCTTTTGATTCCCTTCCAGCCCTAGATCGATGATCCTATGGTCTGGTCAGGGCTGCCCAAAGAGCAGTCTGGCAGAGGATACTTGGTTCTATGGCTGTGATTCAGCAGATACCATGTGGGGCAGGGCTGGCAGAAAAAAAAAAAACAAAGCCAGGCTGCAGGCCAGAAAAAGACACACCCTGCACTGTTGAATTGCAAATAGAAAAACAAAATCGCTCTGTACCACCCTTTGGTTCTACCCCTGGGGAGGCTGGGCCTCCCCAAGGGTGGCTGAGGAACAGCCGTAGCAGGACAGGAAAGGAAGGGGAAAGACTCTCCTCTCTGCCTTCACTTTTCAGGGAACAGTGTGTCATGGTAGGGTGGAGAGACCTGGGCCCAGAATGCCATGCAATGGGCTTCTGCTATGCATTGTTCTGATTGCCGGTGGGTCCCCTGATGGCAGCTTTGTGCATTGGGCTGCCTATGGTTATCTGGGCAGATAAAGCACAGCATGAAAAAAGGTGAGAAGAGGAGGGCAGGGAGGCATCTGGAGCTAGGATACTAATTGAGAGGGTGAGGAAAAGGAAAGGGGATGGACTCTCCTAATCCCCCAATCCTGTCTGAGAATGGGAGGTTTCTATTCCCTCTAACTCTCAGGTTATTCCATCTTCTCTGTTCTTTAGGTTCAAAGAGGGCATTCTATACCTATAAGGTCCAGGTCCTTGAGCTTAGGTGCTTGAATAGGTGAGCAGGTTATATGGTAAGGTCTCTATTTATAGGTTTCATGGACCCATGGGCTAGAAGGGACCTTCCAGATCACCCAGTCCAACCCTCTCATCTTGAAAATGAGGGAGCTGAAGGCCAGAGAGAGGTGACTGATTTGTACAAGGTCACACGGAAGTAGGAGAGATGGGATTTGAACCTGCATTTTCTGACTGTAAACCTAGTGCTCTATTTCACCATACCAATACGCAGGACCATGTGGCTATCTGCAGAGTGGCTGGCCAGTTCAGCCCTGGCCAAAAGTGAAAGCCCTTTAGGGCCATCCAAAGCTGAATAACATGCACTTTGAATGAGGATTTATTTCAAATCAGAGGAATCTCATAATAGTTTTGAGTGGGTAGATTGCACACCTGGGTTATAATATAACCCATATGTGAAGCATAGTTCTGAGGCTGGGTATTTGTGGAGATGATATTTTAGGGCACAGATAAGAGCACTGGACTGGAAGTCTGCACCCCTAGGTTATATTTCCCTCTCTACCACTACCTCATATTGTGACCTTAGGCAAGTCACTGTTCAAAGTTTTTACTTATAACATGAGAAGGTTGGACTAAATGATTTTTTTTTTAGTTATGGAATAAAACAAGCATTTCCATAACAGTGTGACAAAAAAGATGATTGCACATGAAACTGTAACTCTATTAGATACAACTTGCTATTCTCCTTTTAAATATATAATAAAGTTATCATGTAAATTTATTTTTTTCTTTCCTCTCCCTCATGCCCTGCCCTAGAGATGGCTACCATTAGATATATAGATATGTAAAACCATTCTATACAAACTTCTATTTCCTAGTTCTTTCTCTGGATGCAAATAATTTCTAAGGTTACTTCCAGCTTTTAAGTCCTATGCTTTTAGGTCAATATGCTTCAATGTGAGTCTCAGAGGTTGCCCACTGAGGGCAGGCTTTGTCAGCACCCCGCACAAGTGCATTGCACAGTGCAGTTCCTCACATTGCACCACAGCAAGCCTTGACAAACATTAACAATGCAGGATATTATTTCCATTTTGCAGAGGGGGAAACCGAGGTCCAGAGAAGTCAAGTGACTTAGCCTTAGTTTCCTCATCTGTAATATGGGGATAATAATAATAGGGTTGTCATGAGGATCGAATGAAATAATCTACGTAAGGCCCTTTGCAAAGCTTGTCGTGCTATATAAATGCTCATTATTATTACTGTGCTGCCTGCCTCTTTTCCTGTGGCTTATGTGATGAAAGGCACATTAATTGCCAGTAATCTGAATTCTAGTCAGACTTGTTTATGTCTTGTCAGCATTAGGTTCAGCTGTGGGTGAGACAACACTCCAAGGCAGAGTTGTTTGATCATAGATTTTTCAAGCTGGAAGAAACCTAAGAGATAACCTAAGTCCAACGTCCTCACTTTACAGCTGAGTGAATTGTAAAAAGGCTTAGACAGAGGAAATGATTTGCCCAAGGTCATACAGCATCTTAGTCTCATAAGAGGACAAGAATGCAGCTTTCCAGTGCTCTTGATACCACAACATTATATTTTTGGCTGGCAGCTGTGAATCTCCCCCATGTCCCATCCTGCAAAGACTGTCTCTCTCAAACCTATTCCCAGGATCTGGGAATAGCCCTTTTTGGGCTAGAATGGTCTCTTAGGTTTCACCTGGTGTTGAATCCCACAATGCTAGAATTCCGAGTCACTGTTAGTGTGTCTATCCTACAGGGTCAAACCACTGAGGGTATGTCAGTTCTGTCTAAATTGTTCTGTACAACACTACAATGAGAAGGTGCTTAATTTATGCTTCTGGATGAAGATGAGAATAATGCTAACTCATTTTTATATAGATAAGCCACCCCTCTCAGCCCACCTGGTGGTCCACTCAAAGATACGCTCCAGGAAGGAATTCCAAGGCTTGTGCTCATCACAAGAGACAAATGCCTGAATACGCCCAGCCCATTTGAAAGCTGTTCTCTTCTTAAAGGACACTGGATCCCAAATGGGCAGCTCTTAATCTTTCTAGACTTCAAAAGGCATCTTAATGACATAGAGAAAAGGGGGCTAGTGCCTCATTTCTATCACTGCCGGGGCTCTTTAAGATGACTTAATTCAAATCTGCTATATGCCTGGAATTGGGCTAGGCCATGGGAATAAAAGAATAAAATAAAAGAATAAAAATATAAAAATATGTAAAATTTATTATGAATTATATATAAATATATACATATATTATGCATATATGTATATATTATATATAATATATATATACATTATATATAAAAATATAAAATACAAAAATTTAAAAATAAAAATAAAAATAAAAAAGTCACTGCTCTGAAGGAGCCTACATTATCCTGGGCATATAATCTCTAGGTTATATTATAACCTCTCTTATAGAAGGACTGTTTTGGTACTGGAATAGGAGGGGAGAAATATTTATTATAATAAAAGTCTACACATACGATACATCAATGTTTGTAAGGTCCTTACTTGGATCAAAAAAAGGGACTATAGCATTTATAGTTGGAAGGACCTCGAGAGATTTGATTGATCAAGCAATCAAACGAGCATTTACTGAGCACCTACTATGTGCTAGGCACTGAGGTCACAAATACAAAGGATGAGACAATCCCTGCTTTTAAGGATCAATGAGGCCCAGAGATGTTAAGTGATTTGCCCAAGGTGATACAGGTAGCAAGTGGTAGGGGCTGGGATTCAAATCTAGCTATACTACCTCCTAGTAGGGCTCATCACTTGTTTCTGATTTGAAATGTGGCAGTGCCTCAAATCTTCTATCTATGTAGAGGATGAAGTCCCTGGCAGTATCTCCCAGAGGCTGCTGCCTTGTCCTAAGCAATTAAGATGAACAAACTCAGTATCACTTGTCCTTTTCTCAAGGTGTCGTCAGAGAGGACAGAGATAAAAGCCTTATCGGAGAGAAAATCTTCTTGGTGGCTGTTTAGCAAATCTGTGCAGTTCTCTCAAAGAGACAAGGAAAGCTTTCAGGGAGAGGACAGGATGATGGGTGGGGGAGGACAATGAGAGCTGTGGCTTTCCTTTTGGGTGGGAGAGGAGACAGAAGACATACCTGTAATCAAAGGAACCATCCTCTTCCTTCTGGTCTTCAGGGTCAAGGGGAACATCCTTTTTTTCTCGAACTGCAAATCAGCAATTGAAGCAGAGAGTCAGACACAGTGCACGAGACATATGTCCTAGGCTTACCATGCTTCCAGCCACACAGCACTTGTGTGGCTTGTTACACATGGCTTGTCATACTTTTCAAAGTATTTTCATATATTAGGATTCCACACATTTGGTCTTCGCAATAGCCTTTTGGGACAGGTAGGGCCAGGATCGTGAACCTTATTGTACAGGAGAGGAAACAACCTTGATGAAGAGAAGTAACGGTCCATGTCTCCTGATTCCTCTTTAGCCCTCTTTCAACTAGACCAATCAACCAATCATCAGGCATTTATTAATTGCCTACTGTCTACCAGCCACTGTGGATACAAAACCCAAAATGAAACAATCCCAGTTCTCAAGGAGCTTATATTCAATTGGGTTTATCCTGCAGCAGGAGGATAGGGAAGTTGGTCCAAGGAGGAATTTTCTGAAAAGGGAAACTTTCCGAGATCTTTATTGGAGCTCTCTGAAGAATTCATCTGTGCGTGGGTCCTTTAGACCACCTGCAGCCCACCTAAGTCTTGATGTCAAACTAAAGACCAGGTTAGTGAATCAGTCAGTCAATCAAAAAGCATTCATTAATGCTTTCAGGCCCACTTTGTGCCAGGCACTGTGCTAGGTGCTTGGGACAAAAAGACAAAAAAATGAAACAATCTCTAATCCCATGGAGTTTATGCATTTCTTTTGAAAGGAGAAAAATGCTCATTGGCAAATATTCTTTGTCCTATCTCACATACTCTGGTCTCTTTTGGATTCACTCAATCCACTCCAACCTAATAAGCAGTTATTAAATAGTGGATAGAGCAGTAGGATTGGAATCAGGAAGACTCCTCTTTACGAGTTCAAATCTGGCTTCAGACACTTACTAGCTGTATGTCCATAAGCAAGTCATTTAACCCTATTTGTCTCAGTTTTCTCATCTGTAAAATGAGCTGGAGAAGGAAATGACAAATCACTTCAGCATCTTTGTCAAGAAAACCTCAAGTGGGGTCACAAAGAGTTGGACGTGACTGAAAATGGCTGAACAATAAAAACCTATCAGCAAGGCATTGGATAAGGACAAAAGAAAAAAACCAGTCCTTGCCCTCAAGAAGATAACACTTCCTACTAAGATCAGATGTAGAATCCTTTATAATCCCAGGGCATACGGAGAATTGGGCAGCAGTACTGAAATAAATAGGAGGAAAGTCTGTTGCCATTGCCTTGGGTTTTCATGGAACGCTGGTTATCTGTTGGAGGTGAATGCTCTTGTGCCCCTAGAGAATGGGAGGAGTAGAAGGGGTGCTATTAGAACACAGGGGGTTAGGGTGCTTGAAGGGATTCCTAGTCTGCTCCTCTCTAATGCATATAATCACGTAATATTGTATACCATAGTTAACTGGGCATCCTATCCCCTTTCTAGACTATAAGAACTCCACGGGCAGGAACAATCAAAATCTCAAGTCTAGCACAGAATACAATAAATTTCTGAAATTGAATTCATTTGGCAGCTCAATGGGATTTTCCTGGCCAATATAATTTCTTACAGGGTCATAGGGTCAGAGATTGAGAGCTGGAAGGGACTGTGGAGGCCATCCATGCCATCATTGTGGATCTCGCTGGCCCTCCCTCTGACAGATGTCCATCTCCTGAAGACTGAGAGAGCCTCATATTCCAAGAAGCAAAAGCACTTAGGTATATATGGAGCCTGTGGCCCTAGTTTGTTTCCACTGGAAGAGCTCAAAGCCCATCCTCACCGCTTCAACACTGCAGTGAGGAAGGAGATGCTCATTAGGTAAGATAGGAGCCTTTGAAGGGCTAACTGAGAGGCTCCTCTGCCCTCTCTACCACTTCTTGTGTTCCAGGGATCCTCTGTCCCTGTATCCTCAGAGAGCTGCTGAGTTATTAACTGAGTCTCTTCTCCAGAGCATCTTTCATGTGCTCATTCCACCATGCCCCCAAATACTCACACACTCTCTGTCTCTGTTTCTGTATCTCTCTCTGTCGCTCTGCCTGTCTCTGTCTCTCTCTTTCCCCCTCCCCTCCCCTTTCCTCCCCTTCCTCTCTTAGGTCTTAATGGTATTCAGGATGAAATAAAGCTAATTCCCTAACAGATGGGGGTGGGGTGGGAGGAAAGGTCATTCCTAACAGGAGTCAGTCATCTCCCCTACCCCCCAAGGGCTCCCAGCACCTCTTTGACAGCCCACCTTAGGCGAATTTAATTAACTCAAGTGCTTTCTGGCTGCCCTTAGATTTAGAAATTAGACAGGAGGGTCATATTTTCTTATTTAGCAAGGCTGGGCTCATTGAGACAGCTGAGCTCCCCTGGACCTGGCAAGCTGGGGGATCTGGTTGGCTTATGGGAAAGCTTGATTGCTTTCCTGACATGGGGGAGGGTGGAGCTCTGTTGCTTTTTCCTTGGATCTCTTACCTGGATATTTCCCTCCTCTACTCCTTTTGATGAAGCAGACGATGAGTAGGATCAGCACCAGCAAAGCAATCGCACACATGAGCCCAATGAACCATCCTTGGGTGGCGATGTCCACTTGGTTCTTGGTGGAAGCTGGTAGGGAGAAAGGGACAATAGGGTGTGGGAGGGGGGTGGAGGAATATCAAAAGAAGGCAAGTTAATAGGATCTGACAAGAGAGCTTGGGGAGGAAAACAGAGATAAGACTCATCCGAAAGTCCATGTGGATGTCTCTTGGAGACTAAAGCTAGGGGTTGCCCAGTCTGCTGGCCCAAAGTACCCATCAAAGAAAATATCCATTAAAGGAACAAAGAAAAAATCCATTAAAGAGCAGAGGTCAAAGGATGAGGAAAAGAGCCAAAAGAAAGGGAAGGTGCTAGGTGGGGGCAGCTGGAATAAGAAGCAGAAAGTGGAGCAGGACCTGGGGACAGCACGGGGTTAGGGGTGATATTGTCCAAGAAAATGGTGCAGGTCTTTAGTGGCTGACGCAGGCACCCCAGCCTGGTGTGCAGTGAGGGCAACCAGGGAGAAGGCCAGAGGTGTGTTGATAGCCATGAGGCCTAATGAAGACCTAGGGCAAAGAGGCACAGTTCTAGCAAACTTCCCACTGGGGTTGGTGATCTTGAAAACTCATATTCATAGGGGTCCTCCAGGTTAATGAAATGCTTGCCTCGAAAGACCCTTGTGAGGTAGGTAGACCAAGCATTGTCACTCCCATTTTACAGATGAAGAAGCTGAGACTTATAGAGGTGAAGTGACTTGCCCATGATCACATATTTAGTGATAATTTAAAAAATAGCTTATATTCATATAAAACTTCAAGTTTTTAAAATCACTTTGACTTAAATCCCATTTGATCCTCACAACAATCCTTTGAGGTTAGTTGAGCTGATTTTCTCCTGTCCATTTTTATGTAAGGACCCAAGGCTCAGACATCTGGAGTAAGTTGACCAGGACACACAGCTAGGCAGATGGCAGAGCTGACATTTGAACCAGGATGTCATGGCTCCAAGATTAGGGCATTTTCCAACATGCCAGTCACTGAACACCAGAAAGCCAGTGAGCGATTCACAGGCTGTGGCTCAAAAGCCCACTCCAGCAGAAAGAGCGTGGCACCTATGAACAATGTTTCCGGAGCTAACTGGTCACTCCAGGGAAGCAAGGGGGTCGCCAGCTTTTTCTTGCATTCAGAATCTTGCCCGGACCATTGAGAGGCACAATCGTAGCGGGTTTTGTGTCTTTGACAAGCTCATAATTTCCTAGAAGTTAAGGAACTCTTGTTTCTTCATATAATGTCTAGATGGGGCTAAGGGTGCTATCGATAGTGGGGGCCTCTTAGATTTTTTTAAGATGTCTGGGCAGGAGCTATGTCTACTTAACTAACTCTGCCAAACATGGCTTATTGTCACTCATGGAAAGACCCTTAATCAGGGTTCTTTGATTAGCTGATTGAAACTTCTACTGCCAAAGATCTGGTGTGAGGGGAGTTACAATTCTTCCAGGTGACACTGCCCCCCAAAACACACTGCTGTGATCTTCTCCATTTGTAGGAGACCAACTGAAGTCAATTCAAGAGGAGTCCTAACCGTCCTGACCCTACCCCTGCCATGCACAAACCCACACTGTAGGTTGCATTTGGTAAAGTCCCTCCTATTAAGGTCGGTACATCTGAGAATAGTGGAAGGAATATTGGATCTGGAGTTAAAGGATTTGGATTTGAATCTCAGCTCTGATACTTACTACCTGTGTGAACTTAGACAAGTCACTTAACCTGTGTGAGCTGGTTTCCTCCTCTACAAAATGAGAGTTGGATTAAATGATCTTCCAGCTCTAACTCTATGATCCTATCATTCTTTTGTAATCCATCTGAAAGGCATAAATGAAGACAGTCACGAGTTTCCTGACCTGACTGGAATGGAATCTGGGGCAATTCACTCTCCAACTAGCCCACAGGACAAAGCACAACAGCAGCTTGCTTTGGTGCTCTACTTATGACAAGGATGACTTTCTTGAGGCCTGGGAGATCAGGGAGGAAACGGGATATACAGAGTAGACACAGAGCCACCCCAGCATGTAGAGGTTCCCAGGCCCAACTGGTCTCATGCAACTGGGCAACATTTCAGATATGTGGATGGCTATAGTCAGTATCCCATATTGTCCCCACAGGATAGATTGGGAGAAACAAATCTTTCAGATCTCTACATGGCCCAGTTGCTTAGAGAAGCCAGGGCAGACAGAGTAATACTCCATTACAATATAAGCTATTACTTGGATTGGGGTATAGAATATACCATCTAAGTCACATCACTCAACACCTCCACTCTACCTAGCATTTCCTAGTTAAACTAGACTCCACCTTGAAGTCTACTTCAGTGTTGTTCAATCTATGGGCACTCTAGACTCCCTTCCTCCACCCATGACCTTCCATGGAGCCACTATCATCACCATCCAGTCATCTCTCATTGATTTGGCAGCACAAGCTTCATAGTAGTTATTCCAGACCCAATCTCCCCTTTGAAGAACCTTGGCTCTGACTTCCTGGATAAGATGGAAAGCATCTGGATGGAGTTTCCTGGTCTTCAACACATGGCTGTCCCTAAAGAGGAGTCCTCTCTCATCTCTAAAGCTATCTCCTGGACTTCTCTCTCCCCACCTGTTCATGAATCTTGTTTTCTCAAACATCCCATTACCTTGATTTTCAGTTTTTTATGGTTCTTTCCCTTATGTTTGTCAACATGTCTCTAACATATTGAAATCCCTTTCATTTTAAAGCAAAACAACAACAAAAACTTTGTTAGACTCTTGGTAATAGCTACTGCTCAATTTTCTCCATCCTTTTATTGATAAACTTCTTGAACACCTCACCCACTGTTTCCACACCCTGGTCACCATTCCCTTTTTAAATCCCCTGCAATCTGACTTCCGGCCCTACCACTTCAATGAGGTTTCCAATAGCTTTTTCACAGTTTTCAGTTGTTTCATCTCCTTAGTGGTATCTGATGCTATCAGCTAGGCCACCCCTTCCTCCGCCCCCTCCTTCTTGGCTTCATGATAGAATACTTTTCCTGTTTTCCTTTTATCTCTCCATCTGTTCCTCCAATCCTTTTTTTTTTGGTGGGCTTCTCTTCTCCCCCCATCTTTGGGTGTCCCCCAAAGATCTCTATTTTTCTTTTTACATTCCCCACTCCTCCATGAATTCATCCAAACCCATGGCTTCAGTGACAATGATAGACAGCATGGCTATAATGGATTGAAAGCTGCCCTGTTCATGTCTGCCTGTGATCCTGGGCAAGTAATTTAGCCTCTTCTTCAGACGACTCTCTGAGACTCTAAGTTGCAGACCAGGTGCCCATCCACATTGATGGAGGGAGTCTCCACAATGACAAATATCAATAGAATCACAGGCCCAGTAAAACATATGATAGATGACATAGTGTTCTTAAAGCTTGCAAAGGGCTTTTCATCCATTGGCTCACTCGATCTCTGTGTGGATGACTGAAATCTGCAGTGCAAGATCTATCCTCTTACCAATCCCTTATTTTCAAAGTCCAGAGGTTCTCCCCATTTGGGTGCTCTGTCATCACCTCAAACTCAATATGTTCAAAAGTGATTTAATGATCTTAGCCTCTCCATCACTTTCACTTTCAAATTACCCAATTTTTGTCATGTCAACATTCTCCTGGATTGCTAGCCTAGAAAATTCCTTCCCTCTCCTTAATCTCCTATCATCTAATCTGTTCCCAAGTTCTGTTGTTCCCTCCCTCCGCTTTAAAATGTCTCTCAGTGCTCATCTTTTCCTCCATTCACACTGGCACTGCCCATACCTGAACTTTCATCTCTTCATATCCTTATCTCCCTCTCTCTAATCCATAATGCATATTCTCACCAAAATAATCTTTCTAAAATAGCACTGTCATCATGTTACTCATGCCCCTTGTCTAGAACCTAAAATGGCTCCCTATTTCCTACCACAGCAAACATCAACTCCTTCAACAGACTTTCAAACACCTCTACAATCTGATGTCACTCTATGTAGCCAGCTTAGTTTCTCACAACATGTCAACCAGCATTTATTCTAACTTCCCAACACAGGCTTTCCATACTAGGCAAATTGGTATCCTTGTCTTCCACACATGCCAGATTCACTTCAACCTCCGCCTGTTGCTGCTTACCCAACTGGAATTTGCTCCTACTTCTACCCAAATCCTATGTATTCTCATTTCAGACCTACATGGAAACTGTCTTTGGCCTCTGTAACTTACAATTACATTTAGCATTGATACCAATCTATTTGGCATTGAATTGGTTTTTAATTGTTTCAAGAGTGCTAGTTTTATCTTCCTAACTAGATGACAAACCTTTTGAATTAAGGGTTTCTTCAGTGTCTTTCATGGCCTAACACAGTGCTGGGAACATAGCTGTCACTCAGTAAATACCTGTTGATTGATGGATTTCCCCAAACATAACATGATGTAGTGAAAATCTAAGATAATCTAGTTTAGCTCTTAGTGGCACATTAATTCTGTCTACCCACGCCAACCTCATAAAAGGTTTCCCTGAAGTATCTAGGTGAATAGGGCCACCCCTCTGCTTAGTGGGAAGGATGAGGGCTGATTGTTTCTAATTTCTCAAAGGCTGCATGACAAGAATCACTGTTGGTTTGAAGTCAACACCACAAAGACAATGAACTGAGGCATAACTTTGATTTATTTGCAAACTGAATTGGAAAGGAAAGCAGGTCTGTGTTTATAGAAAGTCAGTCCTTCCTTCAAAAACTCTGCCTTTTCTAGGGGCGACCACTACCCTTTGGATATAGTGTCACATTTCAGGGAGATGAGGGGGATGGAAAGACAGAAGATACCATCCCATCTGATCCATGGCGCATACGTAGGAATCAAATCCAGACATATTAAAGTAGTCTAATTAAAGGGCTAGAAAATTCATCTTTGAGCTCTGGATCTATCTCTGTAATTGGCTTCCTAAAGAGTAGAAACTGCTATAAGGTAAGCCTTCCATAGATTATTTATTCAAATATGAAAAGAGACTCATTATAAGATGGTCTCACATCTTGGACTCCAACAACAATTTTCATAAG